CTGGGAAAATATAAGGAAAAGTCAAAGAGAAGGTTTTCGGGTAAAGCGAGCAATTTCTGTTTATGCTTTTTAATTTTAGCTTTATTGTGCGCAATTTATGTTCCAACCCGTACCGAGTGTGTGAATAGCAGGAAAGCGAAAAATAGCAGTTTTATGCGGCACACGTCAGCCTTCACCTTACACTTTTCACCTTTCACCTTAAACCCCGGACTAACACACCGCCCACCCCACAAAAATGTCCACCCATTGTTGCATTTCTTTTGCAATGGCTCTTGTTTTTCTTCCAGCTGGATTTCATTAGATTTATATGGATGTGTAGCTCAGATATTTGCCGCAAAAGGAAAAAAATCAATGGCTTTGCTCAGTGGGGAGTCACCAATATGACCAATTCATGTTGCTCTGCATAACTCTTTGAATCTTAGAATTTTTAGAGCTTTAAAAATTTGTTTGTAGTGACTTAGAAAACGTGCTGAAATGAGGTTGTTATTTATTTGATGAAACTTTACAGAATAGTTAATGTGTAAATGATCTTGGGGCAAGGACCATGCCTATTTCTTATTCCTTCGCACATCCTGGCTGACTCATCAAAGGCACATGTGTTTCAGACCTTCAAATAAGCACAAATTTCCAGCAAAGGCATACCAAAAAAAAATTGAAACTCACAACAAACACACAAATTACGACCTATTTTTCGGTTTTGCCGCCACCACGCACAAACAAAAAAATGGGGACAGTTGGGGATGAGCGAGTGTTCGCATAAGGAAGGTCTATAAAAATCCACAAATAAAATGTCATTTGCCTCGAACGTGCCTGGCATCTACTTATAAACTAAATTAAGGATAACATTTGAAAAATTTGCACAAAATAAAATCCAGCCAAAAGGATCCAGTGAATAGAAAGGAACAGGACACGAGTCGCGGACACGATGTCCTGAATGCTTAAGTTGAAAATGTTTCTTACCCCAAATAGTACACACGCACACATATATAATATACATGGGGGAAAAAGGAGAGGCGAAGAAAAGAAATAGAAGCTGAGTGAAATAGAAAATATACACAATAATTTAAATTGCTTTACAATGAAACCCTAAAATGTCAATAGAGCGGCGCGCTATTTGCTTTTCCTATTTATTCCACCCACTCCCTGCCACACTTCTTAGTATGCAAAGTGCCGTCCTCGCAATACCCCCCCTCCCCCCATCCCTTCGGGAAACACCCCCCTCATTGCCACTTTGTTGGCTTTTTCATTTCATTTGCAAGTGGACGCATTGAAATAAAGTGGATAATACTGGTGGGAGGGCGATAACCCCTGAATAATGGCGCCAAGATCGAGAAACATCGGCATGCAAGTCGAAGCATTTTCTGGTAAAAAAAAACTCGCTCTCATAGCTTGGGTTTTAAAATAAATATTAACTTGGAATTTATAAACTCTTGTTCTTAATTTAAATAAAAGTTTTATAGATATACAACAGCCTAAAGCATACTTTTAAGCTAAGTAAAATTTAATACACTTAAGACTAAAGTAAAAGACTTCCATCTTGACTCGACAAAAATTATTCTAACATCGAATTTAAAATGACAGCACTTATAGTGATTTCGTATCTTTTTAATGGCCATTACGCACTCCCTTTAATATTAAATATTAAAAAAACCTGCGTACATTGAGTACTCGAAAATGTGTTTTGACACAGTTTTATTTTCCAATCTTTGGCTCCTGTTTGTTCGCCGTGAGTCCGAAATCCAATTGGAGATGAGAGCGACGACCACACAATGTCGGCACGTACGAGTTGTGCTAAATATTTCAACACGATTCAACAAACTACTCACTTAGCCGGCTAAAAAGAAAAGTCTCTGCCCCGCAAGAAGCTAAAAAGCAGAGCACCGGGCATGACCCGAAAGCATTTGCACTGCATTTAAAAAACATTTGCGGTTTTTACGCTTAATCATCGTCAGCGGGCGGTGGCTTTCACACGCGGAGGGATGGGGGGCTGTGGGGGCGTGGTGTGTCTATATATCCCCAGCCGACATCATTTCCTAGCTTGGAATTCCCAGCACGCTTGTATATATTAATAAAAATGCATTAGTTCACATTTATTTTCGACATAAAACGTGTAAAAGTAAGCAAGCCAGTCAGACAGACAGACAGACAGACGGAGTTGGGGCAAAAAGACAGGGGCAGACGGGCCAAAGGGATCCCGGGGGGCAGCTTGTGGAAGATTTCACTCACCTAGAGACAGTGAAAAGTAGGCGGGGTCGACCCAGTGGACGGTGGCTGCACTGAGAGAAATTATCAACCAAGTTGGCAAGCAAATATGCTATTTTTCATACCCTAAGGAAGTTTATCTGTTGGAGGGTTTCCTGTTATTCATTTGTATACAAAATCCAAAAGAAATACTAATATGTGTATCGTGAAAATTATTAATTTATAATGTTACCATGCAACGTAAATATGAACTCGGGCTCAATGTTACCATCATTTTTAAACAAGGAAGTTCACAAAATAAAGCATTACAAAGAAATGTAAATAGGAATATACACTTTGTTGAAACATATTTTCTAAATATCGCATTATTATCAGTGTCTTATAATTTTACATTTCGTAAGATACAAATTTTAAACTATCTTAAAAATCGGAAAATAATTTTCCCCACATTTGTTTCTCACCGTGCCCGCTCCTCATTTAAAGCTCGGCGACTTTTCCTTTTATTTCAACGGTTGAAAGCAAAATAATGTACACGACAACACCACCCCCTGGTACTCGCATTTCCACCCACCCCGTCACCCCACCACCCCACTAAGCCCCCGATCCCGAACATCCCGAACATCCGCAGACAACCAACCTGTGCACTTTCGCTCTCGGTGTGTCTCTCTATGCTGGTCGTAAATTTTAGATATTCGCAGCACGTGCAAATTATGTACAATAATAAAAGGCAACGGCAACGGCAGTGGAAAGAAGAATAATCCAGAGGGAAAGTAAGACGAGAATGGGCGCAACTGTTGTGCGGAACTTGTAGCTTCCAAGTTACAACTTGTACGGCCAAAACCCCACCCCTCCCCTCCCCCCCTCCCGTCACTGAGTGTCTGTCCTGTCTCGCTGACGACTGACAAGTACATAAAACATGTCTGCGCCTAAAAGTCTGCTGCATTTTCAATTCCCAATGCCCAATGCCCAATCCTGTGTGCTGGATATCGATTGTCTCTCGGTGGAAAGACCCTTTTTAAGGACGAACATTCGCGGCACTATCACGAACTGGCAACAAGTGTTGGAAAGTTTCCACATCCACATCCTGCATTCAGCTCAGCGTAGAAAAGTGATAAGAGAAAAGTAAATCAGTAGTGGTGTGGACTACTTAATGTATTTCAAAAGTGTACTCTCGAGTCCTTTATTTTTAAGTGGTTTAATTTTCAAATACATTTATCACAAATTATCAGCAGCAAAGTCCTTAACTCGAGCTACGATTTCAAAACGGATTACCTCCTAATGGCTAATTCTCGAATGATATGTACTTATGTTATATATTCCTAAGTCTCCGATGGCCTGCAGATTGGTGACCTGAAATTAAACTTCTTAAGCTTGACTATTTAAAGTCCCGTTTACTTCGCTAATAACAAATACTAATAAAAAATTCTTTATTTTTTTCACATTCCTTTGATTTTTTAAACATTGTGGTCCACCCGAAGAACATAAAACATTAACAATTCTCTTAAAATAAAAAAACAACAAATAAGTGACCAATAAATTTAAGACATTTCATTGCCGAATCAAAATAAGTAAAAGTTTCTCTGTTATTTATTCATGATTTTGCCAGGATTTATGGGTGAGTACATTTTGAGGACTTAAAAGTTGGCCGCTCTTCTTGTTAACCACTTTCGGGCAGAAGATTATTTCCCGGAACGACCATTGAATTCCTTGAGCCTCCTCAGGTGGCGACAATCATTGGACTGCCGTCGTTTTGGCAACCCAATTGCGTCCCCGAGGTGTTGCATAATATTTAACACCCGTCGACCCACTGATGGTTATCATTAGCAGAAACCAAGAACCCCCTCCCCCACACACAAAAACTTTTTCCCGCATTTTGTCATCCCCGCAGGCGTTCTGTTCTGTGTTTTTTTTTTGGTTTTTGTTATTCAAAATTGTATAATTACTTCAATATTTTGCTCTTCCGCAGTTGTCGTGCTGCGGCAGCGTTTTTGTGTTTGCCACACGTTTCAGAGCCATAACAAATTACTTAGGTCATCAATTATGAGGTGAGACACTCGCACCTCAAGCGCCGACAACTTCTGGTTCTTGTATGGTTTTGTTTCTGTTTCTGGTTGTTGCTGATGCTGATGCTTTTATTGCTTTCATTATGATTTCATGCCGCGGGAGACACGTTCCGGGTCGCTTTTCATTCTCCGCCCCCCCTCCGGAAAATTCCCCAATTTCCACCGGTTGACGACCATTTGTCTAACTTCAGGTATTTGATGCGGTGCTCGTCTGTGGGTGGCTTTTGTTAATAATGTTATCTTTTATTTATAAAGCGTAACTTTTTGTTTCTCGTTTAAACTTTTTTTGCTCGGTTGGGGGTGAATGTAATTGCATTTAATGTATGAATGGCATGCTGGGTAATTTTCTTTAAGGCGTGGGTGTATACAAATAGATGGTGTAATTAACAAGATTTTCATGATTTTGTTATCTCACATAGATGCTGTATTAATGAAACTTTAAGGAGACTAATTAATGGTTATTTAAGATATATAAGAATAACCTCTAAATATATCGCCAATTTTAGCAATCAGAAATTATAAAACCCATGCGGAATTTTATAACATAAATGTATTTTCCCTATACAAAGTGTTTAATCGCTAATTTTAATATCTCGTCTTTCTCTTTATCTCAGTGTTGTTCCAATACGCTCTAGAAATATACAACCAAGCTAATTCCTATAAAACCAACCAATTTAATACAAGATATTAATTTATCGATTCAATTTCTGTATATTTGAAATAAATTAAACAACTTTTGCTTAGAGAGTATAAAAAATAAATAAATGCCGAGAGGCAGTGAGGCTGGCAATGCCACGCATAACAAGATTGAGTAGCTGTACAGCCGGTGGTTTTGGTGCTTTTGGTGGTTTCGGTGGTGCAAGATGCCCGACTTCTTAGGGCTTGTAGGTGTAGGCACCACCGCAGTTCTTGTAGCACAAATAGCTGGGACGAGTGCGCCACTTGCGGCAATATCTCCGATAGCAATTGTTGGGATTGGGCGACGGTGGGCGGTTGGTGGGTGGCTGATCGGTGGGTGGGCGGTTGGTGGGTGGTTCATTTGTGGGAGGCCTATTGGTGGGTGGTTCATTGGTGGGTGGCCTATTGGTGGGTGGTTGATTGGTAGGTGGTTGATTGGTAGGTGGTTGGTTGGTAGGAGGTTGATTGGTGGGAGGCTGGTTGGTGGGTGGCTGGTGGGTGGGTGGCTGGTTGGTGGGTGGTTCATTAGTGGGTGGGCCATAGGTGGGCGGGTGCTCCGTGGGTGGTTCAACAGTAGGTGGTGCCGCCGTAGGAGGTGCAGCAGTAGGTGGTGCAGCAGTTGGTGGTGCAGCAGTAGGTGGTGCCGCCGTTGGTGGCGCAACAGTGGGTGTTTCTGTGGTCGTTGTGGTAGTGGTGGTGGTGGTGGTGCCGCAGTCATTGGCCACAGTGGTGATCAAGTGGCTCAACAAATCTACCACTAGCAGCACACTCAAATCCACATCGACTACTTGAATCACATCATTGTCGTTGCCAATAATCTCCGTACCAGGTCCAGCTAAAAAAGGAAAATAAAAAAAAACATAAAAATTATAATAAACATTCCACTTGAATAGGATCCAAACTTACAGTTTATCTGGTTGCAAACGCCTCCACTGCCGCGGATTATGTTGAGTATATCAAGGAAGGCCAAGACCCACAAGTCAACGTTGATCAGTTTCACTATACGATTATTGTCACCTATGACGACCGTCTTGGGACCCTCTGCAAATAGTTAACAAGAAATTGATTAATAAGCTGCTAATAAAGCTGCCAACCCTTCAAACTTACTGTTAGCTGAGTTCCCGATAATGCCTCCTAATCCCAATAGGCCGGTTATGCTGGATAACAAAGGAATCTCGGCCAGGACCAATCCATGGACATCCACAAGCTTAACGATATTGTTCTTGTTGCCCACGACCAAAGTTTCGGGACCGCTGACTGCATTGTTTCCAATGACGCCGGAGGATCCGGATCCCGTTGAGGAACTGCTCGAGGACGAACTGCCCGAGGACGAACCGCCCCCCAAAATGTCGGTGACACCTCCTAAAGGACTAGAAGAACCGCCAGTTAGGCCACCAACGAGGCCACCTACGGTATTGGTGACTGTGCCAAGAACACCAGTTAGAGTGGGCTGCAATGTCTCGACAACTCCTCCGACAACGGGCTCCACTGTACCAACGACACCGCCGAGAAGGGGTCCCACTGATTGAAGAACGCCACCCACTGTTCCGCCAAGAAGTCCTCCGAGAAGACCACTAGATCCTGATCCCGATCCCGATCCTGATCCTGATCCTCCCGTTAGACCACCTACTCCGGGTAAGGCTCCCGTGAGGCCACCCAATCCGGATGATGGGCTTGAGGAGGTACTACCACTAGAGGATCCACCACTAGAGGATCCACTACCAGAGGATCCAGGGGCACCGCTAATATCACTTATAGCCGAAACAGCCGCCAAAACGGGAACATTGGCGTCAACAACGCTAGTGAACTTGTTACGATTACCTCGAATAAGTAAATTGGGTTTTCCTATAATAAAGTTAAGAAAAATAAATAGTAAAAATCAATAGCCAGTCACAAATCCAAATGCGACCACTACTTACTGTTAAGATTGTTTGCAAAACCAGTTCCACTTATTTTGCTTAGAACAGGGACATTAGCCAATGCATCAACGTTGGCATTAACCAGCTTGTTAACCTCGTTTCCATCACCATCGATGTCAACATCTGGGCCGACTATGAAATAAATCAAGTGAGTTAGTAACCTACTAAGACCGGAAGATCTGGCAATGCTTACGATTGGCATTGTTTCCCACTGAGGAGCCAGAACTAGAGCCATTGGAAGAACCACCAGAAGAATTGCCTGAAGAGCCACCAGAAGAACCACTTGGAGTACCACTCGAAGATCCACTCGAAGATCCACTGGAAGAACCACTCGAAGTACCGCTCGAAGAACTTGTAGAACTCGTAGAAGAACCCTGGTTGTTAATAATACTCAGGATCGGTGCGACCAGAGATATGGGAAGTCCAAGATCCAGCAGTTTAAACAAAAAATTCTGATTGCCAATAACTTTGTCGCCTTGAACTAAAATTAAGAAATAAGATGGAAAAAAAAATAAAATAAATTAATAAAGTAATATGAAAAGTTACGCCAGAGAGAGGAAATTGCAAAAGGATCATGAGATAAATTTGAAGTTTACCATTCACATTGTTTCCAATTACGGAAGAGCTGGATGAGCTGGGAGTGCCAGATCCAGAACTTGAACCAGAAGAGCCCGAATTAGACGATGAACTCGGAGAGCCCGTCGATCCCGAACTCGTTGAGCCAGTAGATCCCGAACTGGAGCCAGTTGATCCCGAACTCGAGCCAGTAGATCCCGAACTGGTGGATGGACTCGAAGAGGAGGAACCGGAAGAGCTTCCACTATCAATATCTGACAATACTGGAGCAGCCACTAAAGCGGGAACCTTCGCCACAACTGCGCGGTTAACAGTGTTACCACTTCCCCTGAGAACAACATCAGACCCCTCTGCAAAGGAAAATAAAGAGCAGTTAAATAATAACTAAACAATCGGCAGATTTCGCCAGCACTCACGATTAAGGACGTTGCCGGTAAAACCAGAACCGTGAATTCTACTTAAAACAGAAGCAGCAACTTCTGCGGGCACTTCAGCGTTAACCAGCTCATTTACTGTGTTAAAATTGCCAACGGCATCGACGTCATTTCCCACTACAAATACAAGCCAAAATAAATAAACCAATGCAGAAAGAAAATTATAAATACTCACAGTTTTCACTATTACCAAATCCAGCTGCAAGAAATCAAAAAGAAAGTTTTATTTTAAATTCAAAATTGAATATAGGTATATGATAGTTCACTTACATATGGCTCGCTTTGCGGTGGCCGCTGTTTTGGGACCATCCATGGATTGGGAATCCGTGAGATCGCCACCATTTAAGCTGTTCAGAGCCGCGGCATTGGCCATTTCGGCAGACGTGGAGGTCTGAATGGTGCGATCGAGGGCGGTCATTAGGCCCATTAGCACTGGTTTGTCCACGCCCATCGCCAGCAGGCGGACGATCCAACTTTCGGGGGCGGCGGAGCACAGACCACTCGCCTTGCCCTCGGCAATGGTCGACAAACTGTCCAGAAGGGATACGGATAGCATACTAAAAGCGTTCACCTGCAGCAGACTGATGGAATCAGGACCCACTGAAAGGATAATGGAATTCAAGCATAATAATTAGGAGCTATTATGGGGCTTGTGAAGAAAATGTGGGAATAGCTATATGTTAATATAGTATGTATGTCATTCTTTCATTATAGTTTATTTGAGAGTCAGTACTCGTCCTCGTTAAATTTTGCTTGTTATTTAATACTTGTTATTGGAACATTTAAGCCAACTAATTAACACTTTGTATTCGATACTAGCTCCTCAATTGATGTATATTAACCATTAGAACTACATCATCGTTAAGTGATATCAAGGGTAAAGAAATGTATACTCACTCTCTCGCAAATTCCTAATGATCTTGTGAGCCTCGCCACTCGAAGCCCCGCACACCTGCAGCAAAGTATTGAGGATGGCGGTCAGTTCGTTGATGTTTCGTGCCTGCAGGAATTTGAGCACCTTGGCGCGGTCGTCCTTGACCTCGCCCACTTTCCGGGCGGTGCGAAGTCCCGACCCCTCCGCCTGCTGATGCTCATCGGCGACCTTGGCCTGCTCGCGCTGACGGGTGTGGGTGCTCTTGATCACCTGACCCACCTCCTCCTTGGCACACTCGATGCCATTGAAGAAGCAGAGGGCCAAAAAGGATTTCAGGGTCAAGGTCAGACTATTCCTGTCCTGCGATTGGTCGATATCCTGGATAATGCGACTGCACGTGGCATTGTTACGAGCTCCAATCAGTATATCAATGATCACATCCATGCCAATCTGGAGAAATACATTGTTTCCCTTCGTATCCTTGCTCACATCGCTGCGCAGTGATTTCATCGTGGACTCCTGGAGGGAAGTCAACTTGGCGCCACGTGCCTGCATGCTGGCCAAAAGTAAATCGGCCAGATCCTTGGAAGCCAAGCGTCCGATATTGGTAACACGTGGTATTTTCAGGGAGGCTTCGGTACTTGTATCTTGCTGATCCGTAGTGCTGGCAATAGCACTACTAGTAGAAGTACTACTACTACTACTACTACTACTACTACTACTACTACTACTCAATTCCGTTTCCAGGAGTAAGGATGCCAGTGTGGTTGTGGAAAATCCAACCGTAGTTCGCTTCGCGGGTTTGGCATCATGGGGCACCAGAAAACAGGTGGACAGGAGTAGGAACAAATGTAGTCGCCACATCTCGATTGTTGTTGCCACTGACTTGACTTGTCGGTGATTGATAGATTTCGCTCGATTTCAGAGCTCTTTTATACGACTTTCGACCCGCTTATCGCCATGTAAACCCAGCGAGATAACCGCTCTGGCATTCTGTAAAACGTGCTTCTTGACATTAAAACCATATATCGTTGAGGCATTCTTTCTGCATGGGCCGACGGAATCTTCTTATCTCTTGCGGCTAATGAGTGGGCTCTGAGTTGGTCTAAACTTGAGGAAATCTGGCTTAAAGCGGTGTGATTCAGAGATTATGATCGATTTGGAGTTGGAACTCTGTGCGGTGTAGCAGTATTTAGATCGGTACGCTTTTACATCAATTCAAATCAATTTTAGAGCAATAGGACTTAGTTTCTTTGGGTTCAAGTTTAAGAAATCAGGTTTAAGAATGAGAAATTCTTATACTACAATAAATGTAATTTATTAAAGCTGATATAGGAGCAATAAATTGTGGCATTCATTTTTATGATAGTGTTTAGCTTCTTTCAGTATTTTATTAAAATAAAACGGCCTTTCACTTAATTATTTAATTATGATATTATCACTACCACTAGTCACCATTATTAAAATGCTCTCTTCTTCTAATTTATTTTTAAGTCTTAGTGCTTCCCCCTCTAAAACAAAAATAAACTGTATTTAAGTACAAAAGCCTACAAAGAATTTATGTTGTTTACTATGTGTTCATTCATGGCAACATTTTTCATTGAGTTAAAAAGCCACAAAAGCACTGATGATTAATTTTAGCAAATACCTCGGAATGTCTCAGAGAATTTCTCACTCTCCAGCTAAAATGATAGATTTGCCAAGTGGGTCGAAAGTCTAAAAAGTTATCTAATTTATTTTTTCGGGGGTGTTGGCACGTAGCTTCAGCTCCCCAAAATTTCCGCATAAAGATGCTCCATAATTGGCTTTGTATAAAAGCAGAAAAGTTGTCACCGAATTTGTGCAGTTTCTAAAGAGCTTACAACAATTCACTTGAACAAAATGACAGCCTTAAATCAGGATCAACGCTTTGCGTTTCTTTTGATCATTTCTTTGATGGGAAGTTTTATTTTGGGGATATCAGAGGCTCAAACATTCACTGCCGAGGATCGTAACTCTATACAGAAGTTCATGGATCAGCTAATAAGTTTCCTGGAATTGGAATCAAGTAATGTAACCACCACATTAGCACCTTCTTCCAATGCAACGAGTGTGGAAACTTCCACTTTGTCCTCGGGAAATTCCACACAAGTAACAACAGAGGTTGCGAGAACAACTGGTAACTCTACATCGAGTGTTTTAAGTACCTCCAGCACCACCAGCACTACTAGCACCACCAGATTTAACTCCACAACGGTGGGTAATACCACCTCAACCACCGAATCCAATCCAACTACCATTAGACGTAGAATTTGCTTTAAGCGTTTCTGCTATAAATTCAGCAACGATAAGGGATATATAGTTTAGTCTCAATAAAACAATGGATATCAAAGTAATTTGTATTTTATTTCTGGGTAATATCTCTCAATTCTTGAGTGGACCATTTTAAATCCATGGTAAACTTAAAGCTCTGAAAAAAACCACACTAAATTTTACATTTAATTTAAAGCCAATTGGCAAGCCAAAGTAACACAAATATTTAGTAAATATTATTTGCCTAATAAATTAGTGATGGTAATGAATTCAATAACCCTTTGGGCATTGTTTTCACCATAAAATGTGTAATTGAAAAGACCATTATTGTTTTAGCCTTTAAGTCAATATGCCTGCAGAGATCGGCAGAAATATTTACATTCATGTACTTGTCGTATATAAAGAAAATGTTTCGCATTTCTACGCAAAACTTGAAGTCTCTTTTGCCCCAGAGGCCTTAACAAATTATTTCAATTAAAAGTTTTTGAGCAAAGCACTTAATGCCAACACAAGTTGGGGCGTTTATGTGCGCAAATCTTAATTGTGCCAAAAATACAAGCCATAAATTTGTATTCTCAACCAGCGAATGTGTATGTCTTGATGTCGGTCTGTCTGTCTAGTGGAAAAGACCAACTCAAACTGACAGAAGCTTTGTGACTTTTCATTAAGTCGTAAACAAATGAAATTTAATTCGTGCACAGATTCACTTGAATCCGTTGGGCAAACAGCTGAATGTGAATGTCAACCAGGGGGCTTCCCCTTTTCCCCATTCCACATCTTTGAATCATCAGTTTTGAATGATACATATTTACATCTGTTCAGTGCCAATAATTGCCAAATGAAACGAAGCCGCAAATGTGTGTTCCGGACGTGCTCGATTTTCTAATCAAATGACCGAAGTAATCTCCAATGCGATGGGAAGTCGAAAAAGGAGGAACACAAAGAGCCATTTGCAAAATAGCTTAAGCACAGTTTTGACAATGGTTTGGCATTCTAAAGCTCATCATTCCGGGGTGAAATCTAGTAGGAATAAGAAGAACATCTGTAATCAAAACTAGAAGGAACGAAGGTACCTACTGTCCGGTTATGAAATACTTTGCATACCTGGATGGCATTTAAGTGTGGCTTAAATCAGAAAACGAAACTATAACGTTTACATGAAAAATCAAAGGCAAGATTTCAGAAAATTCGGAAAATTTTGCAATTATTTTCTTGTCCACAATGTGGTTTATTTAGATTTTATTTAAAATGTTTCAAAATGTTTTTGGTCGCATATTTAATATGTAGTTTATTTAATCATAATAATATCTTATTAAAGCCTTTGGAAGAGGGTATAAACAGTATATAACTATGTGAAATTCGATTGATCTTATAAAAGTGCTGATTTGTCCTTAGCCTTGGGTTTGTGTGTGTGCCTGAGCGTGTGTGCGTGTGTCCTTCGGCTATCCTGCGAACTTTATTGTTGGGCTTCATCGCGCCACGTGCCAGTGTCATTTAATTACTGACTATATTGTTATTATTATTTACCCCCACATATATATACATACATGCGTGTCAACAACTTAACAAAGTTATTACACACACAGAAAAAGGGAGGGAGTGAGATGGGAGATAGAGTGAAAGAGATGGGAAGAATCACGCACACTATGGCAACGGATTAAGCGACCGCCGCGTGAAGCACTTTAAATTAGTTTCGTTGCATAAACAAGAAGCAACAGCCTCTACAACAATTGCTGCCAATTCAGCTATTTTATATATATTTTTTTCGTTAAAAATTAGGCTGCGCCTTTATGTTATTTTTGGAATTATTTGTAAAGGCTTAGGGCTGAACAATGTTTACGTTATTTATTATTGGTATTCTAATTTATACTGTTTATTTTAGTTTGTTGTTTCTTTTATTTTGCCAGATAAGCGACTCTGCCAATTGGCAACAAGTGATGTCTAATGTTCTTTCATTATTTGTTTTTTTCCTGCTGCTTAAATATTTTTTTACGATATCTTAACTTTTTAAGATTCATATTTTTAAGACTTACTTTTAAACGAATTCTTAAGAAATTCTATAAATTTTTTTCCAACTGAAAAAAAGATTAACATTTTCAAGATTTTTTCTAGTTTTCTTGACAACATAATAAATATATATATTTTGAAATTTTTTAGTATTTTGTGGCCAAAGGTATACGAATCCCCCCGGTTCACAACTTAGTTATAACATAGTGGTAGCTGTTTCTAGCTACTATTGACATCACTGTTGGGCGTTGGGTTAGGGTTGGGCTGGAGGGGTGGGGTACTAACTGGACGGATAGAGACGCCTGTCCGCAGCTTTAAAGAAAATCCACGCGATGAGCTTATCAACCGTCAGCCATCAACCACCATTTCCAACCCCGTGGGTTCTGTTTGTTTGTGTCAGTTTCTAGGCGAAAAAACATATCCAATTACAATTTAATTAAGCTGATTTGAATGCGGCTGTGTGACGTTAGTTAAAAGCAAACACCACGAATGCAAAACGGAAACAGATGGAGCGATATTCTATTCAAATGGAACTACAAACTATAAATGGAATCCAAACGAATATCTAAATAGAATCTGTTTGTTGTTGCCTCCTTTTCTGCTGCCTTTTTACCGCCCAATACTATTTTATATTGCATACTCACTGGCGGCAAGTTAACATTTGTGGGAACAGTTTTGGATAAGAACAGAATTCAATGAGCTCACAATATTTGAATTTGTATCTATATCATTTAATTCCCCTAAAACTACTTAACAATTCTTATTACTTTTAAATATATATATGATATTTTATAAATATTTACACAATAGCTAGATTTATTTATGGTTCTTGTTCATACCGTCCCATTCAAACTAATTATCCTCATATAAATATTATATAAACATTTAGCTTTAAACACTAGACTAGAAACATCTTATTTTAATCCAACTATATTTTTTTAACTCTACAAAGCCAATAATGTATTTAAGCTTTAAAATTTCCTCAAACCTGATCGCCTGATTTATCATTCTTTGGCGTTCTTGATTTCCATCTATAATGGTCACAAATTTCCCTATGTGCCCTTTAAGCAAATTGTTTAAGATCTTCCCCATGTGACACTCCACCATTTTTTTAAGGGGTTGCCACGCGCTGCGGCGACACTTGACCCACCCAGTGACCCCAGTGATTATCGATGAATGTGTTGTTCTGGTTTGCAATTTCACAGGCTGAGCACGCACCACTTTGACCCACTCCACCATACACCATCTTACTCCTTTGTTCCACGAGGGGTTGGCACTGAGGGGTCAGGCGTTGGACAGGAGTGGGTACTGTACTTTTGTCACAATTTCGTCAGCCTCAAGTCGCTCGCTCTCGAGACAGTTTGCTTTTCTGGTCTAGGGCACTGACAAATAACCACTTCACCAAAAGGAACAACCTACCGAAAAATGGCGTAATGAGCAGCCGAAACATATATATATTAAATACATATCATTTTGATTTTTTAATTTCCATTTTACATTTATTTTACTTAACCTTTACCCTTAACCAACATTGTTTTGAATATACAACCCAAATTAAATTATTATTATTAGAAATTACCAAACATGCTTAAAATTTGAGGGCAGTTGCCTGCTACATTAAAATTACATTACCTTGTTTAATTTTCTGACTAGATCTACATAAATTTTTGTTATTTAAAAACCCATTGAATTGTACTTTTTCACTGTGAAAATCCTTAAAGTGCGAAACGCGCAAGGCTATCGAAAGACTTAGACGAAAAACCCAGCTCAAATGAGGCCCGATTAAAAATGAATGCTAATCGCATTAGGGCAATAAGGCTATGATGCAATAACCATGTAGCAAGTGCATTTCTGGATCGAACCGCAGGCTATATAGCCGGGGTGGCAGATTACAAGCTGCCAATCCACTTGTGCCACATGGTTCATTGTTCGAGGGTTGCCCGTGTGCCCCTTTTTGTACTCATTTCCTTTTGTTTTTTCCACCATCGAGTCCATTGTCCAGGACACGTTTTTTTGGGTGAAACCTAATCCGCTTAGCGCACAAGTGAGTGATGAGCTAAGGGACAATAAACGATCCCGAAAACTGATCATGACGGATGACGACGGTGTACAATATGCTACAAGAACTTTATTGGATGATAATGATAGCCAGCTAAGTATAAGCAACGGTGTATGTATGCCTAATAACTCCGGAAGGCTTTCAAATATTAGTTGTCATCGTTGTCTTCGCTTGTTGGACTCAATTCAGGCACACTAACCCCATCGTTGGCATTGCCGGTTTCATCCCAGTAAAGAGATTCCTCCAACTCGGCGAAAAATATCAAGTTCAGTTCTAGTTCATGGCGCGAGACCTCTTCTTCAAAATCAAAATCATCGGGACCGACATCAAGTGAGTAATTCTGCATGTCTTTGTTTATCTTGTGGCCTTCGATTTATGGAGTTGGAAAATTTCGTTTTATTAGATATGTAGAATCAAGTCGCAGATGAGTTTAGGACCTTTTTGTTTGTTGACAAATGTGTATATGCCAACTGGATTGAAATCTATAGGGGTATTCAGGGGTATATATAATGCATATTTATAAAATTATTTATATTGAAATAACTTTAATGTAAACAAATCTGTTAGTTTTCCCTCCTTTAAACTATTTTCCTTTTTGTCACTATGAATTTTTAACCTCTAGTCTGTCATTTGGTATATGTTGGAAACACTATTTGAATATATGTATCTGTCGCTAAATCCGATTATCGGAAACGGAAGAGGCCAATTCAAACAGAGCCGAACCTGGTTTTTGGGTTCTGGTTTTCTGGTTCTGGGTCTATGGTTTTTCGGTCGTGGATTTCCGCCTGCAATGTGTGGTGTTGGCAAATAAGAGGATATGAGGCCGATGTGCGCAAATGCGTCTTACATAATCACACGGCGTACCGCGGCCTTTGTTTCGCCTTTGTTGGTTTTATGACCGTCGCGGACACAAAGGAAAAGCCGACGCGTAACAGAAAACCCCGAAAAACTCGTAGACAAAGCGTCGAAGAAAATCGCTAGAAAATGC